CTAACCTAAAGGGGATTACAAAACAGTCTCAATCTTTTTGGGAGAAAACTATTATTATTAGAAAGCTTGTATGCATAGATTCATATGACAAGGGTATGTGTGACACTATTACTCAAACTGATGCTAATGGTATTGTCACACCTAAGCCAGAAGCACTATGGAATAATGATGATAAGAAAAACACATTAAATCTGATTAATCATTTGGGTGCACTTGATAATCTTATTTCCAATGTGATTGCAACTAACAATGTTCTAAGATGTCTTACTAGGAATTGGTAATCGAAGGTCACCGCGATCAAGGAAGCCAATGATCTTACATCACCTAATCTTATTATATTGTTTGGTAAGTTTAAAGAACGTGAGCAAGAGCTTACTTGCTTAGACAAGCATGAAGAAAAGCTTGATAAGAAGAAGAAAAAATTATAAAGTCATGAATAAGGATAAAGGAACAAAGTCTCAAGCTCTTCAGACTTCTTGTTCAAGATTCTCAAAAGGTGAGCATATTGATAGTGATTCTAGTGATGGTGAAGATAAATCGTCACTATAGTTGCAAGAAAGGACACACTATTGAAAAATTCTAATTTAGGAGTCTTATTTGTTCCTAAAGGTGTTTTTTTCAATGGTTTCCCTAATGCAACCAACTTTTCACTAACCCCCAAGGATCCAATGAAGATTGGGTACCTAGCTTGTCTTGTTGATTTTGTAGGAAAATTGTTTTGACTCTATGAAGAGAATATGGATTCTCATTTATGGTGGCTTAAGGCACATGATGGGTAACATATTCTAATTCAAATGTATATGTGTCAAGAAGAAGGATTATGTGATCTAGAAAGTAACAACATGTATTGTTTAATTGGTAAAAGATACATAAATTACTTTTTATGTTGTATCTAAAATACTCGGAAAAGGTATTTCATTTCATGATGTAGGTGTATCTTCAAAAGACATACTCAATAACACCGAAGAAGAAATTGATCAACCTGAATCGATGAAATATAAGGAGGAGAAAGATAACTATCATGAAAAGGATAAAGATGAAAGTTCAATCAAAATGAATGATCTTCAAATTAATGAACTTCTTGGATTCATCACAAGTTATACTTTTGAGTACTTTGTCAAAGTGAAAAGTGGTTAGATCGTGGTTTTTTAAAGTCTTTGTGGCATACTTTGCATTTGGTTCAACTTTTTTTTTACAGTTCCTTGTGAAATGCAAGTTCATCCTCCGTTATATTGAACAGTGAGGTAGTATCGATTCAATTTCCGCTTTATTAGTAAGTTCTCTCTTTTACTTATTTATTTTTCTAAGTACATGACATACTTGGTGTATGATATATATATATATATATATATATATATATATATATATATATATATATATATATATATATATATATATATATATATATATATATATATATATATATATATATATATATATATATATATATATATATATATATATATATATATATATATATATATATATATATATTATGAGTATTCATTTACAAAATCATTCTTAATCGATAATCATGGTGTATTATAAATTTACATACTTATAATGATCTCATCATACTATATTTTCATGTATTTTATTTTATAAAAATTTATGTGTACATGAGCATGTTTAACTTCATTAAACATCAAGCATAACACATTTGACATTATATCATATTTGGTTCTACTAACATGAGACTTGTCAAAGAGTTCTCTAAGTTTATACAGGGAGAGTTTGAAATGAGTCTTATGGGGAGTTGAATTACTTTCTCGGGCTCCAAATGAATCAACTCAAGGAAGGAACATTTTTGTGTCAAGCAAAGTATTGTCTCAAATTACTAAAGAAATTCGGCATGGATAATGCAACGCAAATTGACACTCTCATAGCAACATATTCAACATGCATGAGGAATTGGAGATTATTGATGTCTCCAATGTTGCTTAATATTTATTATGATGCTTGAACTCTTATAATTTTGCTCTAACACTTTATTAGAGTATTTTACATCATGTGAGTGCAACTTCCATTCCATTAAGAGTGAGGTAATGTTGTTCCAAATTTCTCCTTGAAAGTAAGATTTTTCTTATTGCATGTTTTTTATGTTCCAAGTGCTTGATATGTTCAAAATGATTAAACCCATGAATGTTCATTTCTAAAAATTCCAATTGATAATCATTGTGTGTTTTCAATTTATATGCTTATAATGACTTCATGTATTAATTTTTTATCATTTGTATAAGTTTATTCTTGATTTTACAAACATGCTTTGATATCATTATTTCTTACATTCGCGCACGAGTTGAATGTATGTATGTTATTTGCAAATTCAGTTCTTGTTGTAGTTGTGTTACATGTTATGAAAACATTTTCATTTTGGATTGAGTGGTGATATTTTTGTTGCCATGCTAGGCACATGCGTGTGCAGCTTTGGGAGTTTCATTATGTTGTGTTACGTAACCGTCATGTTATAAAAGCAACTTGAAAAGTTTTCTCTTGCATAGCATTCATTATTATTCATCCATTACATTACATGTTTAGTAATGTTTATGCTGAATATGTATCAATACACACACACACACACACACACACACACACACACACAACACACACACACACACACACACACACACACACACACACACACACACACAAACACACACACACACACATATATATATATATATATATATATATATATATATATATATATATATATATATATATATATATATATATGGGGATATGTGATTGTTGCTCTTCTTTACAAAAACGCCTTTGAGTGGTATATTAGTATTTATGTTTAACTATGATACTTTTCACGATTTGCTATCTTTCTTTTTTATGTTGTCAAAGAGGGAGAAACATATGCGAGATGAAGTTGGGAAGCATAAAGTCAGGGGTAGCCTTCAATAAAGACATAAAATGCACCGTCACAAGTTTTGCCATCATAAAAAAGGGGGGGTATGTGTGTGCAACTTCACCATTAGATATTTTGGATGATGTCAAAACTAGGAAAATGTAGCATTTATGTATATTGGACGGTATCTCAGTGTCATTTGGAGCACTCTTGCATTAGAGGTCTTAAGAAGCATTCAAAACAAGTTTAAATTTATGTGTCTACACATGTACTGCAGTTTTTAAAGGCTTAAAGCTACTGCCATGCTTGGGTCGACACATCCATTTTTTAGGTCCATCTATACCATTAAATTTTGACTTATGTGTTAAAACATACGATTTTCAAGTCAACACATACTGTTTGATTGAGTTAATTTTTTAATTCTTTTTAACTCCAAAAATCTCCTCTTTGCATCTAAACTTCCACAACTATAAATACATTATTCATGCATCATTCCAACTTGATGAAACTATAAACACTTACTTCATTTCATCTTCATCTTCAATCTTTGACCTATGCATACACATTAATAAATCACACATAATCATCTTTTATCGGGTTTCCATCTAGGAGAGGTTTGATAATTTCTAATTAGCTTATTGTGTAGTCGAGAATATTGGATCGAGATTTGCAGGGGGTTTCATTCGGAAAAATCGCGGGTTTTTCCTCCAAGATTGTTGATTGATTTGGGGGTTTTTCGTGCAAGGCGTTCAAGAGAGGATTGAATCTTAGTGAAAGCCTTTGGAGATAAAGAACACAAAGGATCCTTTGGAGATAAAAAATGAAAAGGAAGTAGCACGAGAACCGCGAATCAAATTGAAGTCTTATGTGCAATAGGTATAATTGATCGTGTGCAATAGGTACAATTGATCGTGTGCAAAAAGCTTTGGAGATAAAGAACACAAAGGAGTAGTAAGATTTGATAAATAAATTGGTAGCTATTGTGTCTTGGTCTTGTTGAAGATCAAAGAAAGATAAGAGGTTGAATCAACATCAAACAATTAGGGTTTTTAGGGTTTCTCTTGAATACTTCTCTTGTAATCATACTTTTTGCAAAGTAAGAAATTATCCTAATTCCAAATTGAAATTGGGGGGAGATATAACCATAACAAGGACGATTGGAGAACTTCCCTAAACAAGTCCTTTTATAGCTCACTCTCTCTCTCTCTATCTATCTATCTATCTATCTCTTAATCTCATTTATTTTTCATTACGTAATTTGTTAAATATCATTGATTGAATGATCGACTCGTAAGAATTTTTTTTTGTCGCTGTTTTTATTTTGAATTGGTTATGGAGCAGCTTATAATCACTTTTGATTATTAGTGCTTTTTCATATCAACACAACTCAAAGAAAAATTCTGAAAATTTGTTCACACACCAAGTGTTTGACAAATTGCATTGCTCTATGTTTTGTTTAATTTCATTGGAAATAGGAAACCATTGTGTCTGATATTAAACTATTAATTGAGATATTATTATGTTGATTGATTTTATCATTATCTTAATTCTATATGGCTTGTGCATATCCGAGTTTCCAATAACTAGATTAGTTTAGACTACTATTTTGATCTAGGCCAAAAACCTTCTGCTCAATATTGTTTTTCATATAAATTTTTAAATTACCATTTTTGAAAGGTATTTTTAATTGGGGATCTATTCACCTGCCCCTCTAAATAAGCCGTGGTATTCTAACAAATTCACTTAACTCAATTTGCTTCATTAGATTTTTTATTTAATTTTTAATTTAGATCTTATTATTAAAACAAAAAATGATAAAAAGAAAATTAACAAAGGTCGGAAAACTGTGGGGTTTTGTGTGGTGAGCTAGGGTTACATTGTGACGTTTCATATCTTAAAACACAAACTTATTCCCTCCAATGATTTCACTCTTTCCGTTCAAACGTCGCCACAGCAACCGCCACTATACACCGAAAAACTCAAACCACACACACCAACGGCTTCTCTTTGCTAGCCTAAACCTAAATTTATGTTTCATTTTGACGATTTCGTTTCAATTATTCCATATTTAACAAAATTCGTGGAACCCTAAGTTGCAGAAACAAAATTAAATCATGCATACAATGCTACCAGCTACGAATCCATGGGTTATCAAGCTATTCACCATCTACTACACACAGGTATAAAGAAATAAGCAAAAAGATGGTGAAGGAGCACGGGTTACCTACCGGAGTAACTTCGGTGGTTCTTCTTACGTGATGAAGATGGAGCAAAATCCAGAGATCCTTACTTAAATATGCTTTTCTTTCTCTTTTATGCTTCCTCTTCTCCGATTCAAACTTCTTCTTTCGCTTCTTATTTTTCAATCGGTAACTCAGGCTGAATTGTTGAAGTTGTTGAATTGTTGTTGTTACAGTGTAGTTGATGAAACATTGATGATGATGAAGAATGAAGTTGCATATTTATGCATAACTGTGTTTTTGCGGATGCGTTTTTTATTGAAGCAGATTTGAAGTTGTGCGATGAACCTCTAAGAAGATGATGATTCAGTTATTGATGCAGAAAAGATTTTGAGAGGAATCTTGAAGATGAAGAATGAAGAACCGGTTATGGAGAGAGAATTGAAGATGATTTCAGAGAGAGAGCAAAGAGAAATTAAAGTTTTGATGATGGTGATTCTTCTGAAGAATGAAGATGAAGAAGGATTTTATAGGTTTTTGGAGTTTGTTACAGGTTAGTGATGCATAGCCCTTGGATTGAAAGTTAGTTATAGAAGGTGAGGATTCATCTGATTCAAAGTTAGTTATGACTTGAAATTTTCTTTTATGAAGTTTTCACTCTATGCTCTGTTTCTGCATTTGTGTTTATTACTGAACTATCTGATTAAAATGCAAGCACAATTCTGTTTTTAAGCACTTTATATGTTTGGTTTCCTTCTAAATTCTGATTAAATGAATATTTTTCTTGGTTTTCCGTTTCAATAATTTTCTTTGCATTTTCTGCTGCCAAGACATTTAAGCAGGGATAATTATTTGGAGTTAGTTTATGAATTGTAGGTTATTAACTAGTTTTATCAATATTTTGGACTTGTTTTGATAGGTTGTGAAAATATCATAGTCTTGTGATAGATGAAGGTGAAGGAACACATGGACAGTTAGAGAGTTTAAAGCAATTTTGAGGAGGCTTAGGAAAATATGATCATGTACCAATGAAAGTTCAAGATGAAGTGAGATATTTAGCAAGTTATTTGGCATGGAAAAAATGACTTAAAACATGGTGCCAAGCTAGGTTTCAAGTAGTTTTCAGACTTGGAAATTTTTAGGTCATGTTGTAGTGTTTGGTTTTCTTTTGTTTCAAAGTTTCAAATGGTTGTAATGGCAATGATGATATGGCTTTTGTGAATTTATTTTGTAATGGGTTTTGCATCAATAAAAAGCTTCACATTCAAAATAAAATTTATTTCCCTTTAATTTCATTTTGAATGAATCTTGGCACTTTTGGATTTATGATTTGATGAATCTTGAAATCTTGATAATTTGAACTTGTATTAGATGAAATGAACAAATGTGCTTGAAACTTTTAACCTTGAATGATGCATAATGTTCAATCTTGTAACTTGTGTGCCAAGAAATCCATATGAATACTATATCCATTAATTCTTGAGACTTTGATCCACTTGAACAAATTTTGACCTTAAATTAACTTCAAATCTCAATGAACAAATCTAAATCACCTTGTATTTCTAATGAGCCCTTAACTTCAATCACTAATCCAAGTCAACTTGTATTGCAAGCAATAAGCCATTTAAAGGAATGATGATGCCTTGAACATAATTTTGTACTTTGTACCATGATTCATATTTTGCAATTCCATCCACAAGCCCTTTGTTTTGACAAAATGCCTTTCCAAATGATGACCTTAACACAAAGCAGTGTCTTAAAGAATCCTTGAAAATGAATATGATACTTGAAGCATAGAAGAACACATTGACATGAAATCCAATGAACCTCAGTTAATGAATTAACAAGCTCCCACGTGATGAGATATAAGCCCTTAACCTCTTATTTTCAATGCTCATGAAATGAAGAAATGGCTTGAGGTGATGAAAGGAAGTAAACCCTAGCTCATAAGATCCTCTTCTAAAATATTGGTAAAACCCCTAGCATCAAAAACTCACAAACATAAGCCAATTGCTTCTTGAATTAACTTGAAAATATGACATTGTCTCTTCATGAAAGTGAAAACCTCATATCTTGATGAAAGAATAAATTTTCAATGATCATAAGCCCTAATTTCATAAACCATGGTTTATGAAAGAACTCGTTGAAACAAGCTTAGGAGAAGATAAGAGCCTCACAGAAAAAGAAAACCCTAACTTCAAGATCATTGATCCCATGCCACATTTATTGATGATGCATGATTTATTGTGTGACCTAATGGGAAGATATGGAAATTAAAAGTGTAAGATGTATAAGCCAGATAAAAAAGTAAAAAGGGTAGGAAAATTTTGGGGTATGACGAATAAGGAGGAAGGAACAAAGTCTCAAGCTCTTAGGACTTCTTGTTCAAGGTTCTAAAAATGTGAGGATATTGATAGTGATTCTAGTGATGGTGAAGATTTAAATTTTCACTATGGTTATAAGAAAGGCCACACTATTGAAAATTTCAAATTTAGGAATTTTTTGGTTCTTAAATGTGTTTTTCAATGGTTGCCCAAATGCGACCAATTTTCCACTAGCCCCCAAGGACCCAATGAAGATTGGGTACCTCGCTTTTCTTGTTAATTTTGTAGGAAAATAGTCTTGACTCTATGAAGAGAATATGGGTTCTCATTTATGGTGGCTCAAGGCATATGATGGATAACATATTCTAATATTATTGTATATGTGACAAGAAGATGGATTATATGATCTAGAAAGCAAAAACAAGTATTTTTTAATTGGTAAAAGATGCATAAATTACTTTTGATGTTGTATCCAAGAATACTCGGAAAATATATTTACTTTCATGATGTAAGAGACATACTCAGTGACACCGAAGAAGGAATTGATCTACCCGAATCGGTGAAACATGAGGAGGAGAAATATAACTATCATGAAAAGGATAAAGATAAAATTTTAGTCAAAATGAGTGATCATCAAATCAATGACCTTCTTAGATTCATCACAAGTTATACGTTTTGGTACTTTGTCAAAGTGAAAAGTGCTAAGATCGTGGTTTTCTAAAGTCTTTGTGGCATACTTTACATTTGGTTTAACTTTCTTTTAAGAGTTCCTTTTGAAATACAAGTGCATCATCTGTCATATTGTACGGTGAGGTAGTATCGATTCAATTTTAGCTTTGTTAGTAATTTCTTTATGTTACTTGTTTATTTTTCTAAGTACACAACATACTTGGTGTATGATATATATATATATATATATATATATATATATATATATATATATATATATATATATATATATATATATATATATATATATATATATATATATATATATATACATATTATGAGTACTCATTTGCAAAATAATTCTTAATTGATAATCACGGTAACTTATCAATTTATACACTCATAATGTCCTCATCATATTATATTTTCATGTATTCCTTTTTCTTAATTCTTTATGAACACTTATGTGTACATAAGCATGTTTAGCTTCATTAAACATCAAGCATAACACATTTGACATTATATCATATTTGGTTATACTTACATGCAACTTGTCAAGGAGTTCTCTAAGCTTATGTAGGAAGAGTTTAAAATGAGTCTCATGGGGGAGTTAAATTACTTTCTCGATCTCCAAATAAAGCAACTCGGGGAAGGAACATTTGTGTGTTAAGCAAAGTATTATCATGAATTACTAAAGCATTTTGGCATGGATAATGCAAATCAAATTGGCACTCCCATGGTAATAAATTAAATATACATGAAGAATTAGGGATCATTGATGTCTCCAATGTTGCTTAATCTTTATTATGTTGCTTGCACTTTTATACTTTTTCCCTAACACTTTGTTTAAGTATTTTACATCATACGAGTGCAACTTTCATTCCATAAAGAGTGAGTTAATGTTGTTCCAAATTTCTCCTTGAAAGTAAGACTTTTCTTATTGCATGTTGTTTATGTTCCAAGTGCTTGATATGTTCAAAATGATAAAAACCCATGAATGTTCATTTCTAAAAAACTTAATTGACAACCATTATGTATTTTTAACTTATATGTTTTTAATGACTTCATGTATTAATTCGTTCTCATCTGTACAAGTTTATTCTTGATTGCACAATCATGCTTTGGTATTATTATTTTCTGCATTCTCGTATGATTTGAATGTATGTATGTTATTTACAAATAAAGTTCTTGTTGTCTTTGTGTCACATGTTATGACAATATTTTCACTTTGTATTGAGTGGTGACATTTTTTGTCGCCAAGCTAGGAACATGCATGTGCGGTATCAAGAGTCCCATTGTGTTGTGTTACATAATCGTGATGATAAAGAAGTAACTTGAAAATTTTGCTCTTGCATCGCATTCATTATTATTCAACAGTGCATTTACATGTTTGGTAATGTTTTATGTTGGTTATTTATCAATTTTTCATCATTACATATATATGGGGATATGTGATTGTTACTCTTCTTTGTAAAAATGCCTCTGTGTGATATATTGATTCTTGTGTTAAATTATGATACTTTTCATGTCTTGCTTTATCTCTTTCGGGTGTTGTCAAAGGGGGAGAAGAATAGGCGAGAAGGTGTTATGAAGCACACATTCAGGGGGAGTGTCAAATGAACACACGAAATGCATCGTCGTAGTTTTTCCATCATCAAAAAGGGGGAATATGTGAGTGCAATTTGCCTTTAGATATGTTTTTGCATGATGTCAAAACTAAAAGAACTTAGCATTATGTATATTGGACGATATCTCTGAGTTGTTTTGGCACCCTTTATATTTAGAGGTCTTAGGAATCTATGATACGGTGGGAGAACTGACTGTTATACTGGTTTTGTGTTTGTATTCGTAAATGTTGCGGTAAGAAAGAGTCGCCACCGACTTTTCTTTTATCCAACAACGGAAAGGGTGAAAAGAACAAAAAAATACCTTTCAAGATTATTTTTTAGTAAGGGGGTAGATTATGGAAAGGGAAGGTGTTAGCACCCTTTTAATCCGTAGTTTTCTACGAGCTTTTAGATGCTTATCTCATTTTGAAAATACCTTGTGTTTTGTGTGTTTTGAAAAGTATTTTGAAATGCCTTAGTGTGGCGGTTTGCTTTATGATAACTTTTGTATCAGTCCTCAAGAGTGTTGATAAAGCGTTTGAAAATGTTTTGAAATTGTGTAGGTGTAAAAAAAGTTTGTTTGAGCAAGCATCTAACAGCTATCTACTTTACTCAAAAGGGTCGTTCTTTTCCTCCTTTCCTTTAGACAAGGATATCATACTATTAGTGAGTAGGTAGCCCTAGTCATTTGTGTTAGAACAAAGTTTGGTTCTAATTATATCTTAGAGTTTTGATGATAACAATGAAATAAATTTTGTAAAATATACTTTATACTCTGATGTGTACATTCTCTAGATACAGATGATATTCTGGCTCATGCATATCAAAAGAGAAACATCATTTTACGCAAGACAAATCAAACTCTGAAGGAAGCACTCCAAGGAAAACTCTGATGGAAAAGCAATACTAAGCAAACTCTGATTACGCTAGCTGAAGCGAAGATCTGAAGAGAAGCACGCTGAAAGCAACATCTGATAATGCAAGTTGAAGTAAACTCTGATGAACATGAAATGAAGAATACTCTGATAGAAGAATAGTTAAAGTAAACTCTGAAGTGGCAACGCTGTAAGCAAACTCTTAAACTTCCAGAGACAAGTTTTGACAGTACCGTTGGTCAATAAATTCTAAGACGGCTAACACACTCAAGTGGTACTACGCACGAGAACATTGGAAACATAAAGACCAAGCCAACGCGCTTCATTAATGCAAACACTCTCTTCAAGGCAGTAACAGTAAAGACTGAAAGCTATATATAGAAGATCATTTGTTTCAAAGAAAGGTTACTGATCCACGAGAAACAACCTTACGCTCACTATTTTCATACTTGTAAGCCAATATTGTGTAG